TTCTACAGTCGCCATCCAAAGTGCCTTCACGTGGCTTTGTGGATGGGGTGTTCTGGCGCCAGAAAGCAATGACTTCCAGTACACATTTAAATAACGAAAGCATTGAAAGCATTGAGACGTGTGTTAGAGATACAGTCTCACGTTGTTCCAGTTCTCCTCCCAGCTTTTAGTCTTCAATGGACACAGTCTCCTCAAAAAGGACAAAATGAAACCCCGCCCATTCTTCCAGCATTCAATCCGCCTGGCCATTCCTTCTGCTCTTTGCTCTCTGACTTTAGCACAGGACCCAGATCTTCTGTAAACCTGGCTCCAAACTTACTTCCCTGCAAGCTTTCCCACCCACTGCATCCAATTTTGCTTGAAGCTCTCTTGTTTGTCCACTGGGGTCTGTGCTTTTAACAAGAAGACTTGGTGATGCAGTGTAAAACATTCAGCAGCTACTGGGGAAAGTCGGCAAGCGAAACCGTCAACTACAGAGGAAATATAAGGCAGTGTGTTCTCATAAAGATAACAGCGTAGAAATGCTGCAAAGTAGTTGTATTCTACCTAAAGTGGAGCTATGGTGGCAAGAAGTTGTGCTGCAATCCCGAAGGCATGCGGTTCAAGGCCACCAGCTGCTCCATGGGGACCATGGGCCAATCTGCCATGGGATTAACTGCCTCTGAAAACTCGGAGCATCAGCTATGGGTCGGTTCTATTTCTCTGGTACACAACAACAGCAACTCTACCTTATAGGGTAGAGTCAGTCTCAGCAGCAATGTTTTGTTTGGGTAGAGCTGGTTTGTGCTGGGATTAACCCAAAGGGGGTTGGTTTGAGGCAGCACTCTGAAAAAGAAGACTGGTGATCGGTTTCTGCAAAGATTAGCCACAAAAACACACTACGGAGTAATTCGGCTTCATAACACATGGGCCTCCATAAACTGGAATAGACAGCGATGGGCTTGGGGGCTTCTGGATCTTTCCATGGCTGGGGAGGAGATCTTTTCCATGTCAGTCTACTGAAACCCTACCCAACCTTCAAGGCGTTTTATACAGCGGTATTTTCATGCAGTTTTTCCTGTATGTCTAAGCAACTGTAGTCTCCTTTCTTTAGAAATAATTTGTAATTTCCTCAGATTTAATTTTTTTAAGGCATTTGTTTTATGTCTCTTGTTAACCATTCTATCTTTCCTCCCCAATAAGGACACACAAAAGCTCCGAAAGTAGAGAGGGCCTTGCTAGTGGACTTTTTTTTTTTTTTAAGTTTATGATGGAAAACTTCAAACACAGACAAACTCAACAGAAGGCCTTGTTTATTTTTCTTTTCCAATGGGGCCAATCACAGTGTTTTGCATGTAGCAGAAGTAAATTTAAGTAATTAGGGCCTTAGGCAAATGGCAGTGTCTGTCTGAGTTTCCTGAATGGTTAAGCTCTTCCTTGGTAACACACATTGACATGGCCAACCCGCACACCTGTAGGATTACCGTCAAGTCAGGTTAAATGTGTTTACCAACTTTCAAACACAGGGTTAAGTGTTTATCCTCGAGCTTAGATGGGATAGACTCTATGTGGGGACAGAAGGAGAGAAGAGTTCTTTTCTAATGTGGATACTGGTTGTTGATGATGGCTGCATAATCTGTTTAATGTAGTCAGTGTCACAAAATAGTTCATGCATTAAATTTCATTTTATAACAGAAAGCCAAAGAAAGAGGGAAAATTACCTGAGATAATTCAAATTTGGGTGTATATTTGTGTGGTTTTCCTAGGGAGGCACATTTCTTATTTGTTGACAGATCACCTAAAACACCCAACATCTCTCTGTTCATAAAGAAATTGTAAATTTTCTCTACATTGCATTATTCATTGATATAACTATTATTTTTAAGATGTCTTCCCCTTCCCAAACCACAACCACATTATCTTAGGCAGACATCTTTAAAACAAAAGGGAAAAAAAACAAAAACCAAAAACCCCACCAAACAAAAATCTCATGCATCCTTTAGCCTATTAATTTTTGCTACTACTGAGTGTGCTTGTGTGTATTTGGGGGCAGAGGGTGGGGCAATGAAATCCTTAAATCGAACCAGAATTCTGGAATGATAGATTACATGTCCATGCTGTGTCATATCCAATTAACTCAAATTGACTGTACACAGCATTATTCTGTTAGTGCATGGAAGATCAATAAATATGGGAGACACCCACCCCAGCTCTCCACTTTCCCATCCGACTCAAGTAGGTCTGAGACGGATCATGCTACTGTGATGTGTACACCACAGCTAAGGCAGGCAGGTGGTGCATAGACACCATTCAAACTCAGCCTATTCAATCCCAACTCCTCTAACTCTCCATTCATGCATAGCAAAACACCATCTGGTCCTATTTTGCCTCCAGCAATCACAGCTGACCAAAAAAACGATAATAACAGCTGTTGCAAAACAAAAGCCAAACAAAGGGGGTGGGGGTGGGGGGTAAGAAAAGGTTAGATTGAAGTCCAGTGCTGAAAAATGCTCCGTGAAGTGCGAAATAGGGAAGCAGCCCATTCAGACGTCGAAAGCTGCTGAATGGACTCAGCGAGGACGCCTTCAACGAGATAGGAATCCATCTGTCTAGCAAGCCTTCGACCTCCATCAGGTGGTAATATACTGCAGAAATTATGCTACATGAAGGCATTTAAGCTTTTGTTCTTAGAGCTGGGAACTAATGACCTCAAGTCAGCTTAAAAAAAAAACCCAGAAAAAAAACCCCAGAAAACAAACAAAAAAACCCCCCAACTCCTTATGTTCTTTCATCATATAGCAATGCAGGTTAACATCAGAGGGGGAAACTCAGGGGGAGAGAGGCTGGCCTAGTTTAACCAGAGTAATATTGTCTACAAAGTAAGGGAAGAGAGAAGGTGGATGTGATGGAAGACGAGGAGGCTGTTTAATATCTGTGGATCACTCGGACGGACAGCCACCCTCATCAGGTAGCACAGCTCTCATGCCAAGTTTTCATTACCCTGATTTATTTCTGATCTGTACCCCAAGAAAGAAGACCAAGTAGTCAACTTTAGTCTTAGGAGTAGAAACCAGTCACATGCATAAAGTGAAATACAAGTTGATGCTTAACATGCTTTCACTGAGTCCCGAAAAAATATTGTGGTAACAAGTTTAGGGATTTCTATTCATGACTCAGTCTTCTGACATTTTAAATACAGCTATGAGCTGTGTAACTTCAATTCTTGCACCATCTAACTGTATGTATGGCCAAGGTCCCAACCCTCTTAAACCTTGAATTAGAAAATTTGAGGTACACAGAATGGTTCATAATGACAAAAGGGTGCAATTTTGTGGCATATATCAAAATATTATTACTGGGGGGTGGGAACTCAACAGAAAAAATACCCAATGGAAGGGAAAAAAAAAACCAACCCCAAAACATTATTACTATATTTTGTATTAAAAATGTTTTCGTGTATCTGCAAATGTTTAATTTTTTTAATGCACAGAAAGGTACACTACATACTAAGATGGACATTTGATTGACCATATATCTAACTGTTGTGACTTAATGTACAAATTCAACTTAAAGACAGATTTAGGAATGGAGCGCATTGGTAATGCAGGTAATATGCCTGTATATTGCAGGGTCTGGATAGCATCCAAATGACACAATGTTGTGTTTCACAGAAGGTATTGGATGTTAAGTGACACATGACTGTACTTAGTTTTGCCTGGTGATTAATTTTTTGAACTGTAGTTATTAAACTATTTTTTTCCTTGAAATTGCCTGTCAATGGCTTAGCAGCATTTAATCAGAGGTGATAAAACCCAAGATTTATAAAATCATTTAGTAGATGTTACAACACCTGCTTCTAACTGCAAACAGCTGAAAACAGTCTTCACTTGCAATTAAGTCTTATCACTAGTGACATTTTTATCCAAGCAATACTTCATGGGTTTTCAAAATGACAATTACAGAACTAATACACAATTACTGTCACATGTAGTTTAACAATTAATTTTGAAGACATTTGTCTAAAGGTTTCACAACAGAATATAAAATGGGTCTTATTGTTATGTAATGTTCGTTTCGATTCACAGAAAAATCTTCCACCATCAGCCCTGCTCCTGATGGTTCAGAAGCAAGCAAATGACTTCTTTGTGGAACACAATTACCCCTTGTAGATTACGCATCATCCTAAGATTGTTTGAACATTGATACCTGCCAACTAATACGTCTTATGAAAAGCTTCCATTTGGACATTAATTTTTATGTAACAAGAAATCTATAAATTTATAATTAGAATATCTTGCTGCTCAGTATTTGTACATAACACAGTGTATGAGAAGGGTATGAAATATTGAAAGCGGAATTCATTATTCATAAGCCACAACATACAGTAAATATTCCTTGAACCACAACAACAACTTTTAGAAATCCATATTCCATTATTTTTAATGTCTTGCCCAGGCGAGCTACAGATCCCACCACTCACAACCTCATTCTTTGCAGATGAAGATTCTGGTCAGGGTTGACACTTGCTGTTTTTAATTTTCATCTTATCATAAGCAGTTTAAGATTGTTGCCAGGGGTAATTTGCAATTTTTATCAAGACCTCTTCATTATAGCTTCTGACAGGACAGATGCTGTAATTAATCACGTAAGACAACTGGGGCTGGTGGTCACACTGCTCTCAATGAGGAAGCGCTGCCGATTGGGAAAGGGAGTGAGAAGCTGGCACAGGAACGGTCCTTGTGGGCTACCAGTTAGCGTTCGCCACCCGTGTCCACAGAAATAACACTGCAACATCAGCTCGTCCTAGCCCCAAATTTAAAACCACTTTCCCCCTTTTGTATATTTACCTTGCACATGCATCTTAAGAAAAAGAAAATGATAAACATTATTTCCTGTGATTTGTTTGTGTCCTTTGTTTGTCATGGTTATTGTTATTTCCTACTAAAAACGGAAGGTGATGAGAAACAGCACTTGATGTGTGACATCATTCCCCATCGTGTATGCATTCAAGGACTAATAATGAAACTCGACATAGCATTTTATTTTAAGCGTGAGCAGTTTCTTTGTAGTTGCATCAAAATACAGTCCACAGTTTTTACTGAAATGTGTTTATTCTATTGCAAGATAAAAGCATTTTTTAGTTAAGCAAAATACAAACAACTTAATTGCTGCTATCATAACTCATAAAAAAGTATAAAACAGCATAAAAACACAATAAGCAACATAGCAATGAATGGTTTATGTCACCAGTGTTTACCTTAAAGCCTTGTTTATGAAAACTTTACAACACATGATAGGAAAACTTACAACTTTGAAAGAAAATATTTACACTGATTATTCAGATGCGATGTTCCTTTTAAATATTCTACCAGTATTACATCATAATAAAACCTCTTGCTCTTTTTTAAATGTTAGCTTCTGTAATAACCGTTTCCATTAAGTGCATTTCCCTTTTAAAAATACAGTGTTTTATTTATTTTTTGAAACTTGTCACTCAAAACACAGAATATAATATTCACATTTCTTCTCTTCTAATTGGAATGAATGCCATGGGCTAGCAGTGGTCATAGATACTGTTACAACATATCTTGTACAACATAGTTTGATTTGGAGAACTCATGGATAAAAACTGAAAACGAGGCAATAACTGAATCTAGTCCCTTGTAATGTGTTTGTTGTTTTTTTGTTTTTATGGAGAAATTTAGGAGGGGGGGAATAAGAGCTTTGGCAAAAGTCTGTGATTTACATTATTTTTCTCATGACAAAAAAAATGCCATCAACTATTCATGTCATACAAATGTTTGTATGAAACTGAATCTTCGTATTTCAGGTAGTTACGACTGTGCTTTTTTTTTTAAACTTTTAGGGCTTCAAAAGTTCAAAGAGCCTTGAAGTGTATGGTGTATTCATTTTCAGGAGTAATAAGGCCAGGGTCTGTGACTCAGAGAGGCCAGTTTATAGTCATTAGTATGTCCCAGGATTCATTACACGGTTTGATTCACATATTGTAGGTACAGCCTGAATAAATAAAAAAAGGCATCACTTAAAAGAGCACAGCTTTTCTTGCTTAAAAACAAAGTTATGTAGAGTCACTAAAAGATGACACCCAGCTACACAGTAGTTCTTACTGCCTATCTAATAGACACTTGTGAGGACCGTTTGATCTGTTCCACATTGCCGCGTAACCACCACCAATGCACGCGTTTCAGCCACATCCCGTTTACCCACCGGTGCCGCCCTCTGCCACCCATGCAACCCCACCTGCTCTGTCCGTCATCAGAAAATACTGACCTGCGATAATACTGGAGTCTGTGTCTGAGATTGTATTTGTGACTGGTGCTGCTGGGAGGCAGGCTGGGGGCTCCCGATGGCGGGGAGAGGGGAGGTGATCTGGGAGGTGACGGGGGAGTGCTGCCGAGGAGAAGGCTGAGACTGGTGCTGCATGTGCTGCAGCTGCTGCAGCTGGAGATGCTGCTGCAGCTGCTGCTGGCTGAGCTGCTGCTGCAGATGCTGCTGCTGTTGCTGCTGCAGGTGCTGCTGCATGTGGTGCTGGAAATGCTGCTGCTGCATCTGCTGCTGGATTTGCTGATGCATCTGATGCTGCTGGAGTTGCTGCTGTTGCATCTGCTGCATCTGCTGCTGCTGCTGTTGTTGCTGCTGCAATTGCAGCTGTTGCTGCTGGCTTTGCACGGAAGGACTCACTTGGGTGGAGGAGGCAGAGCCAACCATGGCTGTTCCCATGGAGCTTATCAGCGGAGCCCCAATGTTTGATGGCATGTTGGCGGCAATGGTGACCGACGTGACGATCTGGTTCACGGGGAGTCTCATGGTTAAGGGCTTGGGAGCGATGGACCGCGGGAGCGACTGCTGCAGAGTCTGAGGCGACGCCGACACAGTTCCATGTTGGGACAGTGGAGTGTTGAGGAGGAGGGAGGATGTCAGATTGGTGGAAGCCAGGGTCTGCTGAACAGAACGAATGGTCTGGGCTTCTGCTGATTCAGCGGCGGCCTGGATTTCAGGGAGGAGGGGATGTTCCACAAAATTAAAACACAAGTTTGAGGTCAATTCATTATAAAAGTAGCCACCATTGTGCAAGCCTGCTAGGATTCAAGACTTGCCATTAGATGCCTTCTTAGACCTTCCCATTGACAAGTAGAGTCAAATTTCCCGCCCTTTTGAATCCAGATAGGCTTTGCACCCTTGCTTTCGTTCACAGCTTGTGGTGAAAATGACACTGTCTCAGTTTCAAGCTGATGCTACAAAAAGGCTCTGCCCCCTTCCTTCCTCTATAGAAATTACTGCTGTTACGTGACAGGCAGGGCGTCTGGTTACCCTGTCACTTAGGGGTCAGTTCGCTCTCAGCCAGGAACTACCCGCCATCAATGCCAATGAGACTATCTTTCATTGCCAGCACCACCCTCTCAGCTCCAAAGATCCTACCACCAAACCAGGCCTAGATCTGAGGAACCAGCTAGCTGTCCGTCTCCAAGATACATACATGCTTATTTACCTTACTCATCAGAATTCTGGGTTGTGTACTATACAGTACTACCGTGGCAAAAGAGAATGAATACATATTTAAAAGCAATCATTCCTCATGTTTATGTCCATAATAATTCATTGAATATTATCCTAAAGATGTTGGAATACAGGTGCTTGTGTTCAAAACCAGCTCTACTACCTAGTAACTTTGTGACGTGGGAAAATTCAATACATTTTTCTGCACCTCGGTTTCCCTATCTGCAAAAATGAGGCTATATGGAACGGAGCCCACATAAAGGCACTGGAAATTAAGTATCTCTTCAAGATTGAGAACAGTGTCTGGCTCCTCGAAACACTTGTTGTTGTTATGTGCCGTCGAGTCATTTCCGACTCATAGCGACCCTATGTACCACAGCCCTAAACCCTGCTCTATCCTGCGCCAACCGCACCGCCTCTGATACTCCCATCCTGATTACCCCAGTCACCGAATCAATCCATCTCATAGAGGGTCTTCCCCTCCTGCGCTGTCCCTCCACCCTCCCAAGCATGATGTCCCTCTCCAAGGACCCATCCCTCCTGGCAACATGTCCAAAGTATGTCAGACGAAGCCCCAGAATCCTTGCCTCCAAGGAGCAGCTTAGGGACACTTACGAAGTTTCGAAACACTTAGGAAGTGTTAATTATGCTTTTAATTGACAACAACTATCTCTAGAAAACAATGCCTACTAAAAATTTTCCAACCTCTGATATTTATTTGGGTAATAACTTACAATAGCACTTGCCTAAATATATTAGGAAGATACACTAGGATTCCTCAGTGATACTAAATTGAAATCGGTACAATTTTTATAAATGTTTTCTAGGTATTCTGAAGGAATACCAGACTTTATCAGAGATGTCACATAGGAAGGATGGTCAATATGACTTTATATAAAATGTTATAAGACAAATAAATCTAAGGCTCAAAATGGAGAGAATTTATATACTTTGATGCAAATTGCACATGATTACCTCTCTTTTACTAATGCAACAGTATTTGGAATGGATCTTTTTCAAGACTAATTTTCCTCTTGTTGTCATATGACATGAAGCCCACTGTGACTCAGTGGCCCTGCATGGCTGAGTCAAACTGGCTAGGGTTTTCTAGGCTGTAATCTTTACAAGATCAAATTGTCAGGTCTTTTTCAGAAGAACGGTAGGGTTTGAAATGCTGACTTTTAGTTAGCTGGTGAATACCCAATCACTGGGACCACTTTTAAACTCTATATTCTTACAATGTAATGGGGTTTGGGTGAGAAGTCCCAAGATGGTGCAATTCTCATCAGTTAAACCTGCTAGGATGTTAATCTAAAGTTGGGGCTTCAAGTTCTTCCAGAGGCATATCTGAAGAGAGGTCTCGTAAACTATATCCAGAAAAGCAGCCACTGAAGACCCCACAAAGTACAGCTCTATTGTGGGGATCAATTGGAAATGATTCAATGGCAAGTTGTGGTTTTATTTTCTTATGTGGTTGTGAAGAATACAGTACAGAATGAATACACACACACACACACACACACACACACGTCTGAAATCCCATCTTGAGTGAGCAGAACTGCAGGCATAAATTCAATGCACAAACCTCATTATTGTAGGTCAAGGCTATGATCTGGCTTTCCATAACCTTGCTCCCAGGATAAGTTAGTTCCTCTCTCTAAAGATACAGATACCACCTTATTCTGCCTTATATAGTGTCCTTGTGTGCAAGGGCTAGAACTACATGCCTCAACTCTTCCTTTCTCTGGCTTTCAATTCTTTTAATGATTTTCAGTCTTCAAGATCACGTAGCTAACACTCTGAAGAACCAAGCCTCCTTCTTTTACAATATTTTACTATGGTTTTGGCAAAAGCTCACAGAGCAAATCTGTTTTCTTTTCAACAATGTATACACATTTTATGGCCTTAGTTACAATCCCCTCAATGGAGTAATGCTCAGCCCACTTCCTGGGGGTTCCTCACTTACAATCACCCTTCTTAGCTGCCCTTTTCTAGCTTCTGATCTTTGATTTTAGGCAAATGTTATCCTTTTGTTCTCATCTGCTTGACTGTTCTTAGGAGCACATGCCTTAGGAATGTTATGGTCACTGCATAGGCCCGAAGTTTGGATGAAAGGACAATGTCAGGGGTGAACTGCATTCCACAGTTTCTCCCACTTTGTCCAGTACTTTCTGTGGTGACCCTGGTCAAAGTGGTCAGAAGTGGTAACAGAGTACCCTGTGTGTATGTGTATGTGTCTGTCTGTTTCAAATTGGATCATTTTATTTATCATTTATGTGGAAGTTTCCAGAACAAATTAATGAACCCTCTTCTTTAAGTTGTGAGGTTCTTCTGAGTTGTGCTGCTTGGATGAGGTCACCATATTGGCAGCTATCTCCCATCATTGGCTCAGGGTACAATTATTTTAAATTTACATCTCAAAAGTTTGCCTGCCCGGTCACTGAGCATAAACTTAGGAACTTCCCCAAAATTGCACTTAATTACCATCTGGGTAGTTCAGATTTAGAGTTATTAATTTTATATTCCCTCGTGCTGGTTCTGGAATCATTTGAGTTCCATTCTGAAATATTTCTGAATCCTGACATTAACATTCAATATATAGAGTTTAAGTTCGCTCTTCTAAGTCATTCATACACTTGATGACCCCAATTCTGGTTGCTATTTCCTGACTGCCCTGGAGTTATTGGTTCTTGGATTAAATCCATGTATTGTCAATTATTCATGCTCTAAAGCACAAAGATCACCTATACCTGCTTCTGGGTAAATGAATGACAACATCATCAGTCAGCACAGGGAGTAGGGAGGACACGCACACTGTTACTTTAACCACTCAACTCCATCTAATTAGCAACCACCTAGACCTCAATGCTAACAAGTATGCCCTGCAAGATCTGTTGTTTGCCACCTCTATCCAAATCTGAGAACAGAAAGTGTATATAGTCCAGATTCTCAGAGAAAGAAAGTTTGCTTTTGACCTTAATAATGTTTTATCCTTCTAATGAAGTGGCAAGTATGCTGAGAGTCTCTTCAAGGGCAAGAGGGCCTTTGGTGCTTGGATCTGAGCAGGTGCCAAGGGTAGGCTTTAATCAGCAGAAGCAGCATCTTCAGTGAAGAAGAAGGAAAAGGGAATGGGAGCTTTTACGCTTTTACAATGGCTTTGCCAGTATCACCGACTGCGCCCTGAAGTACTGTGTGGTACTGGAGACATTAACAGTGACAATGGAATGGCATTCATCTGCCAAAGAAAAGGTAACATCCTAGTTTATCAACCCAAAAGTCCCTCTAAAGTCAAGGAAGGCAAAAGATAAAGTTCGTGAAATGTTTTAAAATTTACGTAGTAGTAAATTCTTATCTGCATGATAATAGCAATGACTCAGTAGCATTTACGTTGGGATACTGGTGCAATTTACAATATACTTGGGTCCATATATCTCTAGTGTTCCATATTTAGAGAATAATTTAAGGGAGTTCTAGTAGTCCAGCGGGTAGAGAGTAGCACTGCCAACCCAAAGGCATGTGGTTCAAGCCTACCTTGAACTGCTCTGAGGGAGAAAGATGGGCACTCTCCTCCCTGGTGGTGGTTTACAGCCTCTGAAAACCTGCCTGAGGGTCAGCGATGGGGCAGTTCTGACTTGACGGTAATGAGTTTTAAGGTTTTTGTGAGGAAAATAATTTTACATTAGCATGAAGATGATTTATTTGTACTAACAGAACACTTCGGCAAAGCACCTTATCTCCATAATGTAACCACTGGAAAATTTACAACATGAGGTCCAAAAGTGTACAAATAAATGTACCTGCAAGGACCTTGTAAAAAGGACATTAGCACAGATCTCAGTGTCTGACACAAATAAGGAAGAAGAGACTCAAACCTTGTCTGAAGAGCTGGGACACACATCCAGAGGACTGAGTGAATCTCTTAGAAACAGTTTCTTTAGATTGAGACACTGAATGAACATATAGGTTTCATGCCATCATTATTCAGGTAATTGCTAACGGAAACAAGTTTCTGAGTTCTTGAGATGCTACTTTCCCCACTCTAAGAGGAGCTGCCTGTGTCCACTCAAGGCTCCAGGGCAGCTCACCATCACCTAACCACCCCCTCTCCCGGGGCTGCCCGCACAGGCTCACCTTGGAAACCAGGCTCGCCCGGTACGCGGCCAGCGCCTTCAGGTACTCTTTTTTGGCAGCTTCGGTTTTCCTTTTATATACCTATTAAGAGACCACAATTAACACCATCTTTAGCACATAGTTCCTCAGCCGTAAAATAACTCTCGCACAAACTAGGTCACGATGAAACTCATATAAAAGCATTGTTCCTACTGACTTGACTCTAACATGTCAAGACAAGCATGTTTAAACCTCTAAATAGGACGCCTTCCAAGGAAAGGAACCTGGTGGTGGATGTGGTTTACAAGTGGCTGTAACATGCAGGTTGGCAGTCTGAACCCATCCAGTGGCTCCGTGGGCCTGGAGAGTGACTCCCTAAAGATTAACATGTGACCATGGGGTCTATTACAACGCACAGTGCCCCTGAAGGACACGACAGCACTGCCCCACAGGGTTTCTGAGGTCCTCTGAGGCCGCCAGCCACTCCTCGGGAGAACGATGTGGTTATGCCTCTGTACTGATTTAGAAACCCTGTGGGTTGGCTCTATTCTGTCCTTCAGGGTCACTATGGGTCACAATCAACTCCAAGACAGAGAGTTGGGTTTTATTTAATGCATTAAGGCTTTGGAGAACCAGACTGCTTCATTTTTGTCCCACGAAGGTGCTTTCAGCTAAGCTTAAAACCTCAAAAACAATGGAGCAATTGTCCTCTTTAAGACAAGGTTAGGGGGCTCTGGCGGCTTAGCAGTAAGGCGTTGTGCGGCCAACCCCAAGGCAAGCAGTTTGAATCCACCAGCTGCTCTGTGGGAAAAAGATGAGCAGTCCCTGCCTCTGATTTATCGTCTCTGAAAACTGGCTACATGGTCAGCTGAGTCAGTGAGCAGTGGGTGTTCCGACTCCACGGTACACAACCACGGTAACAACAAGACAGAGCAACCATGAGTGGGAAGGAATCACAGTTGCTAACAATCACAACAATCACAAGGTCAGCTTCTCTGCTCGCAGCCTGGGGTCCTCGAGAGGCACAGTGGAGGGCTTTCTGTTAAAACAGCAAATTAGCTGCAAGGACGACCGTATTCACTTCCAATGACTGAAGTTACAGAGAGTATCTCATTTCCCCATCAGTGTCATCTCTCCTGCACAGTTTTCTCAACTCTACTCAATCAGAGACAAAAACTGTCTAGCGTGTGAACAAGAGAAGAGAAGAGAGAAGGAAGCCTTTCAACATATGTTTTGGGGTTTTATCCCCCCCTCTTTTGGGGTGAGAAGTCATAAATAGCAAAAGATGGAAGAGTTCTATTAGCAAGATCAATGCGCTCTAGGAATAAAAGGCATCATTTTAAACAGATTTGGGCTCCCTTCCTTGGTTTTATTTTCCTTTTTTAACAGCGATCAGATGGCTGGGTGTTAGCCCAAAGTCTTGCTATCTTTCTCTCCAGAGTTTAAAAGGGAGGGACAGCTCTATGACCCTCCCTTATCATTGCATTTCAAGGGAAGAAAACCAGCCTGCCACCCACTCAGCAACCTATCTGAGGACAAACAGGCCAAACGTGTAGGCATACCACCTCCGTGAGCTAGTAGGAAGGAGCGCCGTGATTTGCTCAGGAAAACCAAGGGCTTTCCACTCTTCATTCCCTAAATAATGATTCTATTTGGGCACTAATAGGGGTCCATTCTTCTGTTGATATGTGAGTCTTAACTCCTGTTCATGGTAACTGGTGCTTAGGAAAAGGAGCAAGGGAGGACTGACCCCCACGACACCCGTTCTTCTGTTTGTGTGGAGGAGGTGGCTGAGGAAGAAGAGGCGAGACTCCAGAGGAAGTTCTCTCCCACCAGCATAGCTAATCTCTGAATACCTCTCATTCTGATGAGCTTTCAGATGAACTTGGAATAAAATTTCAAAATGTCCAGTGACAATAATGAGACAGGCAGGGGCGGCTTCAAAGTTTGGAAACCCACCAGGACGGGACAAAGGTTCAGAAAGATGATCAAGGAAAAGGCAAGCAGAATAGGCCTTAGTCCCTTTGTACTGCTCCTTTTGAGCAAAAGAAGAAAAAAGCCACATTATTTAAAATGAAAAGTTTATTCTCAAAAGTTTATGCTTGTAGGACACTGCCTGGATGTCTTCCAGTCTTCCTCTGAGTGGGTTCTGGACAGTCACTGTCCACGAAGTGGCCCGAGAAAGCTGTTACAGCCCCCAAATGAGGGGGGATTCAATCACCAAATGATTGTTTGTATTCATGTGCTGTTTTAATTCTGTAGCTTTACAAGGCTTTCATGGAAGGTCATCAGTGCCATTACGGGATACTATTCTATTTGCTCACAAAAAGGCACAAGGAATACTCGGGTCACTTTGGAACGCTGGGCCCGTGATGGATTTTTCTTACCTGCTTTTGCTCTTCTCCGAGGCTGTCCCACATAGATGCTACGATTTTGGAGACTTCTCCAAAGGTTGCATTTGGGTTCTGACCTTTAATTGCAGCCTGCGTGTCTCTGAAAAACAGGGCATATGCTGATACTGGCTTCTGGGGCTCATTGGGATCTTTCTTTTTCTTTTTCTTTGGAGTCTTGGGCTTCTTGCCAGAATCTGGAGCAGCTCTTTTCTCTCCAATGGCCTGCAAAGCAGAGGGGGGAAAAATCCTCACTGTCTACAATGTACGAGCAGAGAATGCAGCAAAGACTTACCGGGCTCCCAATTGTTCCTTTAAGGTTTTGTTAAGCATCATCAACAGATGAATCACCACAAAAGGGGGGAGGGGTAAATTTGCTTAGGAGTTAACTGGGTAGCAGAGATTAGCATTTAGAACATTGATTAATGAGGCCCAGAAGTATCTTCAATACATTTGCAGCATATGCTCTAAATAGCAATTATGAGTAATGAAAAACAGAACACACTGTACTAGCCAGGCTATATATACGCTATGCTCTACAAGTACACATAAACAGGGCACTTTAGAACATCGGAGATTTAAAGGAGAAGCTTCCGCAAACCTCACGACCCTGAGCCTATTCGCAGCATTTAAACCAGGGCTTTGTCACAGTCACATGCCACCGGAAGGAATTTCTTTTTCAGACAAATTTTTATTTTAACACAATGTTGCCTGGTTAACAGGTCTCTGGAAACTCAAATGGAAATTAGCCATACTCCCTAAAGGAGCATAATAAGGAAAAGGTCATCTTTACTTTATTATTATTTTTAAATAATCACTTTTAAAAGAATAAGATAAAAAGAAGTGTAAAAATGTCAAAACTGCTGTAAGTGGATGGAGAAAGGAAATTGATGTTCTTCATAAAACTGAAAACCTTTAAAAGAGCAATAATTGACACTTAAAAATTGCCGCCAAGACTAAGAATTCTTATTATGCCCAGTAAGAAGCCCTGTCTATAGAAATACTGACACCAGGACTCTCACAACAATATAAACCGTGGGCGATCAGAATCTGTACCTGTGTAACCCCTTAGATTTATCTACCACTAAAGAGTTGATGTACCATATTACATGGATATACACCAACCATGGCAGCTGTGGGTGGTGCAGTGGCTGAACATTGGAAGGCTTTCTGAAAGGCCCAAAGTCTGAAGTCACCGGCCTTTCTGTTGGGGAAAGATGTGGCAACCAGCTTCCCTAAAGTTTGACAGCCTAGGAAACCCCACAGGACAGTTCCACTTTGTCCCACAAGGCTACTCTGAATTGGAAATGAATTTAACACAAGTGGGCTTGGGGCTCCTTACTCACTTGCCAGCATCATCCAAGTTTACTGATCATCCAAAATACTTACTTGGGAATCAGGGGAAAGAACTTATTGACCATGTTTTATCTCTCTAGATTAAAATATGGTTATACTGAAGATAATTTGGCAGTGAACTTCATCAAGAACCTTAAGTGTCTGACAAAATCTAATTTAAGATCCAGACTTGGGCAAGATCAAACTATGACTCAAACTACGACCAGTTTGACTTTTAATGACCTTGACTCTTGAGTCCTAATTCAAATTTTCAAAGAGGTGCAATTACTTTTGGATGGTCATTTGGTACTTTTTTTCGGTACAATTACAAAAACTGTTAGGAAATTATTTTATCTGATAATTCTCATTGAGAGCTCTGAATCCTTAAGAAAACTCTTGTCTAATTCTAGGTTAGGAGGCTTAGGTAAGGAGTCTACTGGTAAGGAACTGTGCTGCCAACCCAAAGGCATGTAGTTCAAATCCACCAGCTGTTTCCTGGGAGAAAGATGAGCAATCAATTCCTGTGCTACTTACAGGTTCTAAAAACCTGCTGGAGGGTCAGTTACAGGTTGGTTCTGACTCAGCAGTACTTAAAATGACAACTTCAGGTAGATCCACAGTTTGTACTACTTGAAAGATAACACCACCAATGTTATTAGCTAAGCCCTGCACAAAAGAATGTCAACCACTGTCTAGTCAGTATCACCTCAGCATTGGCTGTGGATCAGATTATTGTGATCCGTGGATTTTTGTTAACAGGTTTTCAGATGTAAGTCACCAGGCCTTTCTTCCTAGTCTGTCTTATTCTGGAAACCTCACTGAAAACATTTTAGCATCATAGCAATAAACCAGCCTCTACGGACACATGATGGTTGTATATAAATCACCACCACTGCCTCCAAACAACATCCAAACTAGTAGCTTCAGATGGTGTTAAGCCATGCCTCACTTTTCCAAAATATTATCGGTCATAACTCATTCATTCAGAATCTCTGTAGATACCACTAGGATTGTGGAGGTCTGGTATGTGGTTTTTTTGGTATTGTGGGGTTTTTTCCTAAATTCTCAGACTAAGGGCAATTTGATTCAGTCTAATTAATGAAGTCTCGTTGCCATCTCTGTAAAACAACACTTAAATGCTGGAAACACCTTAAGTCTCTTTCTTGGAGAACCAGGACTTGCTTTAACCACCATCACATTTTAAAAGAATAAACCAGGGATAAAGAATCTCACAGAAATTCTTTTAGAAGTTCAGAATTTTTAAAAAAAATTCAGAATTTCCCTAAAATAAAGAAATGAATGAGGAACTGTGTATCTTTAAGACAAGGTTAAGATGAAGACATGGCTTTACCCAAGAGATATTCGGCAATAGTTTTAAATTATCCTGCATCATTCTCACTCTGTCAGACATGCTCAAATCCAATGTTAAAATGACTGTGTCACTTCATCTCTTTGAGGCTCTTCCTTCTCTTTTGCTGACCCGCTATTTTTTTTTTTCAGCATGGTGTCTTTTTTCAACAGACTGGGACCTCCTGACAACAAGCCCGAGTACGTGAGGTGAAGTTTCACCATCTTTGCCTCGAAAGAACACTCTGGTTATACTTTCTTCAAGACACGCTTGTTCGTACGTTTGGCAGTCCGTGGCATATTCAATATTCATCTCCAGCACCAGAATTGAAAGGCATGGATTACTCTTTGGTTTTCCTCATTTATTGTCCAACTTTCAGAAGCACAGGAAATATATGAAGAGACCGCAGCTTGGAGCAGCCACATTTTAAGTCTTTAAGCTGACTTCTTTGCTCTTTAGCATTTTGAAGAAGTCTTTGCCAGTAGATTTCCCCACCGCAACACATCTTTTGATTTCCTGACTGTGACTACTATGGGTGCTGACTGTCGTCCCAAGTTAAATCAAATTGTTGACAACTTTAATCTTTATCTATCAGAATGCCGCCTATTGGTCCACTGGTAAGGACTTTTGTTTTCTTGATGTAATTGTAAATCCCTCAAATCCCACCTGCCCAAGTCCAATTCTCATCTTCCCCGTGGAGAAAAAACACTCTTTTCCTGCGTTGGTCCTTTTGTTTACTTACCAATGTTGCCTTTAAAATCAAAGCCCATATTATAGCTTCTTCAAATGTCAAGTGAACACTAAGTCTTTTAACGACTTTCCCTCATGAATGCCTCTCTAATCTGGTTCTTCCTACACACCTTCCTTTGAGGAAAGAAAACATTTCATAATGGAAAGGTCTTTCAAGTAGTATCCTTCTCTCTGGCATCGCTCTCTGTAATGCAGCCTATAAATGGTCAAACTTAGCTTTAGTATAAATATGATTCTGCCATTCCTCCACAAAAATAATGAATACACTCTGAATTACCAACAGAAGAAAGATCACTGCATTTAAGGAGTTTCTTTCACTCAATTAGAGCACTGATCACATCTGGAGGTGGTGATCTCATGGCAATATTTCTCTTACAAGTCTATATTACCAGAACCAAGACTTCACACACAAGGTGTGCAACACAACATGAATTTTTACTATTATTGTATAGTTTTTTCATTCGTTACTTATGGTAGACGTGCACAAAGTGTCACACCTGCAAATAAAATTTTTATTTCAAACTCTGTAGTAGTCTTGATAAAAAGGAGGTCTGGTAACAAAATGATTAAATATTTATTGGTAGCAATAAGGCTAATGGTTCAATACCAGTCAGCGGCTCTATGGGAGGAAGACCTGCAGACTCAATTCTAGAAAAGATTAAAAGCCAAGAGAATCCTATAGGGAAGTTCTACTCAATTAAATGAGGTTGTTATGAGTGAGATGTGCACCCCTCAAGCACTTTCTTCAATAATATGCTCTCCAGTGAAAAAGTAAAGATGCAAATCTATCACAATTCATGGAGTGATAACATGCTTGACAACTATCAAAGGTGCCAACAGGTTAGCCTACTAAATGACTAAAACTGAACTACATGGAGGTTAAATTAAAATCAAAGCAGTTGAGAATTTCTGAGAAGTGTAATACAGGCCTTTCTTTTTTCAGGTTAGACACACTGAGGTCTATGAGAGTTAAATGAGGTTTCCAATGCCTTCTGTCACTAAGGGGGCTCTGGTGGCCTAAAGGTAAGAGGCAGCACTACAATCCCAAAGATACATGGTTCAAATCCATGGTAGAAAGATGAGCAATCTCTTCCTTGTGATTTACTGCCTCTGAAAACCCGCTGGAGAGTCAGCTATTGGTTGGCTTCCAATCTGACAGCAAACAACATGTCACCAAGAAAAGATAGATCTCCCAACTTCTAGCTCAAGGCATTTTCCACAGAAAAAAGGAAAAATAATAAACTTTCATAAATGTGACTACTAGCTGAAGTCCAAACAGAAAAGTAATGTCATGAGTGAAATACAAAGCCATGGGCATGCGGCAACTGCAAGTTCACTGGGACAGTGATGTGTCTGAAACTTACTCTGTTGGAGTCATCGGCGTCCTCCTCATTGATGGAGCTGGAAGGGGAAGGTGTTGCTGATTTGCTTGCAGGAGGTGAAGGAGATGTATGGGGTACACTGGTCCCTCCCAAATTCAATCCCAACTGGGCACTGAGCTGAGACTGGTTGATGGTGGTGAGCTGGGCAGGAGGCATGACCCCAGAGCGAGTAGCGTCAGTCATGTGGACGATGGACCGCATAATCAGGGAGGGATCCTGCCGGTACTGGGAAACTTGTGTGTGACTCTGGTCCTTAAAAGGCAACAGCAAAAGGAAAACGGTTTTAGTTTATAACAGTACCAACGACCTTCTGAATAATGTTGTCGATTTTTACACAGGTGTGCTACCATCTGTCACTGTGTTGCTGGACCACTGAAAATGAGGCCACCAGTATTTCAAATATTCAACTATTGACAGGGTCACCCACAGTGGTCAGGCTTCAGGGGTACTTTCCAACTGAAACAGACTGGGAATAAAGCGCCAGTGCTCTAAAAATTAACCAATGAGAATGTTAAGAATCACGCTCGGTGGTCCCAACAATGGACATGAACACGAAGTTGGCCCACGACCATGCAGTGTCGTACTTCTGTTAGGCACAAGGTCACCTTGAGTGAGAGCCAATTTGATGGTATCTAACAAAACAGATGGACTTAACCTACTGTCATTTTTGTTTCTGACAAAATACAGCCAGGACACTCCTTAGAATAAAGGATGGCGCACCTTTACCTCAGATGCTTTGTTCAAGCTATTTAAAGTGTGGCATCAGGATTGGAGGAAGACGCATTAACAACCTATGATATGCAGATGACACAACCCTGCTTGCTGAAACTAAGGAAGATCTGAAGTTCTTGCTGCAAAAGGGACTATAGTCTGCAATATGGATTGAAGCTCAACATCAAGAAGATAAAGATTCTCACCACTGGGCCAACTGGTAGCAACATATTAGATGGAGAAGAGATTGAGGTTGGTAACAATTACAGCTTGCTAGGAGTCACAATCAACACTTGGATTTCCATTCATTCATTGTGGGACATTTTCCTCCCCTCCCCCCACTTCCTGCCCCCCCCCCCCAGTTTGCTCTTAACACCAGCAATCAGGAAGTCAAAAGACAAATAAATTGCATTGGGAAAATCTGCTGTCATAGATCTCTCCGAGTGCTGAAGAGCAATGATGTCAGTCTAGATACAAAGGTGCGCATAATCCAGGCCATGGTCTTCTCAATTACTTGTTATGCTCCAGGGAGTTGGACAATGGCTAAGGACGACAGAAGAAGACTAGATGCCTTCAAGTTGTGGTGCTGGAAAAGAGTCTTGAACATACCATGGACCTCCAAGAAAACAAAAAGGTCTATCTTGGAGAGGGTGAAACCAAGTCTATCCTTGGAGGCTAGGAATCTGAAGCTCTACCTCACTTACTTTGACCAGGAGAGACCGGCACTTGGAGAATGGCATCATGCTCAGAAGGGTGGACAGATAATGCAGGAGAGGGAGACCCCAGATGAGGTGGATTGATATAGTAACTGGGGCCATGGGGGTTGGTGTGTCACAATTAGTGAGACTGGCTCAGGACAGGGCTGCTGTACATAGGGTCACTATGCATCGCAGGTGCATAAAATACTATGACAGGTTTAGAAGCAGAAGTGGCATCCACTTCCTAAATAAAATGTCTCTGGAAACTATGAACTTTGATAAGCATCGATACTTGTAGAGGGGCTTCAGGTTTTTTGTTCATAGGTTCGCTATGAGTCATGCTCGACTTGTAACAATCCCTGGAAGGATCTCATGCTTGGTAAAGTTGAGAGTCAGCAAAGAAGAGAATGATTCCCAACACGATGGATTGGTGCAGTGGCTGAAGTAGTAGGGTGAGACACAGAAGTAACCGTGAGGCTGCTGCGGGGCCAGGCCATACACACCTTGTTCCGCTGTACACAGGGCAGCTGAGGCAGGACTGACAGACACATGGCAACAGGTAACGATAGTTTTGTACTCAGCTCTGTGAGAGAAGGAAGGCTTTCTTCATCTCATCCTTCCAGGCATGTGGATGACATTCAGTGAGGATGGGTTGAAGAAGTAGAGTGTTTTGGTTTCACAAAGCAAACATCTATTTGCTACCGGGCACCCTCTCAGTGAAACCCTTGGGGGCGAACCAGAGGACATTCCAATTCAGAATTATAACGTCAACAGACTCTGGAACTCAATCAGCATTTTTTGGATGGATAGCCCTTTTTTAAAAAACCTCCTTGGTTTTGTTTTGATCTATAGAACATGATTCAATGCAGTAAGAGATTTTTAAAATGATGCATTAAGAAGCAGTAGAAATATTCAGAATTAATGTTCAGTAAAAGCAACTAAAGGGGACTCTGGTAGCTTAGTGGGAAAGAACTGCACCGCCAAACCAAAGGTATGCAGTTCAAATCCACCAGCTGTCCCGCAGAAGGATGGGCAATCTCCTCCCATGCAAGTTGCTGCTTCTGAAAACCCACTGGAGTGTCAGCTGTGGGTTGGTTCTGACGCTACAGTACATAACAACAACAACAACAACAACAAAGGTGATGACAAGGAGCCTAGCCTAGTGGAAGAAGCTGCACTAAAATCTCAAAGACACACAGTTCAAATCCACCAGCTGCTCTGCAGGCGAAGGATAGGCAATCTTCTCCCATGTGATTAAACTGCCTCTGAAAACTCGGGTAAGGGTTGGTCTGACTTGACAGCACACAACAACAACAAATGTGACTACAGTTACATCCATGCTCACCTTCTCCATTTTCGGTATAGTCATAAAAAAGGTTTTCAGTCATTGCTCTTGTTTTATTTCCAAAGCATGAAAAAAAAAAAGGATGATTTTCCAATGACTTAACGACATTTTTTTTTTTTTTTAAAAAAAAAGGATGATTTTCCAATGACTTAACGACATCATTTAAAATGAGCCTGTGAATTTTACTGGAACAAATTTATGTCATACAACTCAACTCACTTTTATCAAGTCAGAACTGACTCACAGCTGACCCAAAATGGGTTTTCAGAAGCTGTAAATTGCATGGGGAATACTGATCATCTCCCTCTCATGGAGCAGCCGCTGGATTTGAACTGCCTGCCTTCACGTTGGCAGCATAACTCTTTTCCCTCTGGACCACCAGAACTCCCTCTTGTCACACAGTGACCATGATTTGATTTTATATATACATCTATGAATTCTCCACTCTTCTTTTTTTTGTCTTTTTATAAAGGTTTATTTTTCTCCTCAAAGAAACAAAATTATTTGTAATCATTAAATTAAAACATTGGGTTCCTTGATACGAAATATATCAAATTTAAAAATTCAATGTCATCAAGTCAGAAATATCTCATAGCTGACCTTACATAAGAATATACATCTGTCAATAGGAAACTGGCTGAATAAACTATAATCTTGCCATACCACAAAGTAAGATGATGCTTTAAAAAATAATGAATTAGATTGTTATGTATTGACCTAGAGCAGGATTTCTCACCTCTGGCTCTGTTAACATTTTGGGCCAGATATTTCTTTGTTAGAGGGAGTCTCTGTTTCTGTATCTCTCTCTCTCTGTGTGTGTGTGTGTGTGTGTGTGTGTGTATTTGTGTGTGTGTGTGTGTATTTGTGTGTGCGCGCGCACATGTGCACGCACCTTACGCCTTAGAGGAAGTTCAGCAGTATCCTTGACCTTCACCTAGTAGACGCCACACACACCCCCGCCCCCCAGCCCCTGCTTGGCCCATGGCAACCAACATGCCTCTAGACATTTCTGACTAGCCCTTGGAGGGCGAAACTGCTCAGAGTGGAGAACGGCTAGCCCAAAGTGATGTCCAAAACTCAAAACAGACCCTCCAGCGAGTTTACTAAACTCTAAACTGCTCAGATGAAGACTGCCCATATTTCTTCTGAGGGGCTGCTGGTGGATTTGAATCACCACAAAGTCGCTGCTTTGGGGGTAGTTTAACCTCACACATAGTAGACCACCAGAGCTCCCTTAATTGGAGACACTGTAAGTAGGGGAAAAGTTATAAAAATGATTCTAGAACTTTCTGCTCCTTGTTGATCAACAGAAAGCCCTCTCTTCTCGTGCAGCCTCAGCTGCATCCCTGAGACAAGATGGTAAAAGTCAGAGTAAATGGATTTGGCCACATTGGATGACTGGTCACCAGGGCTGCTTTTAACTCTGACAAAGCAGATGCTGTTGCCATCAATTACCCCTTCCTTGACCTCAACTACAAAGTCTATATGTTCCGGTATGATTTCAGCCACAGCCAGCTCAATGGCACCGTCAAGACTGAGAATGGGAAGCTGGACATCAATGGGAAAGCTGTCACTATCTTCCAGGTGTGAGACCCCATCCCGCCAACATCAAATGGGGTGATGCTGGTGCTGAGTATGTTGTAGTGTCTACTAACATCTACACCACATTGGAGAAGGCTGAGGCTCTCCCGATGGGTGGTGCCATATGTGTAATCATCTCTACTCCTTCTACCTATGCCCCCATGTTTGCTATGGGCGTGAACTAGGACAACTCTCTCAAGATCGTCAGTAATGCTTCCTGTACCACCAACTGTTTGGCCCCCTTGGCCAACGCCACTGAGGTACTCATGACCATAGTCCATGCTATCACTTCCATGCAGAAGACTGTGGACCTCTGTAAAGCTGTGGCGTGGTGACCATGGAGTTGCCCAAAATATCATCCCTGCATCTACTGGTGCTGCCGAGGCCACGGATATGGTCATCCTGAGGCTGAACGGGAAACTTACTTGCAGGGATTTCTGTGTCTCCACCCTCAATGTGTCAGTCATGGATCTGACCTCCCACCTCCCACATGGAGAAAGTTGCCAAATATTATGACCTCAAGAAGATAATAAAGAAGTTATCAGAAGGGTACCTAAAGGGCATCCTGGGGTACACTGATGACTAGGTTTGTTCCCGTGGCTTTAATAGACACGTGGGTTTAATTTTTATCTTTGATGCTGAATGACCTGAATGACCACTTTATCAAACTCACTGCTTGGTATGACAATGAATTTGTCTACAGGAACAGGGTGGTCGATCTGACGGATCACATGACCTCCAAAGAATAAAAGCCCCCTAACTACCAGCCCCAGCAATAACACTAGATGAGAGATCCTCAACTATTGGCAAGTTCTTGCTCTAACTCGATTCCTCTACACACTAAGACTCACAGCTTTGACACAGTTTCCATCCCGTCCCCTTGAGAAAGAGGAGGGACTTAGTGCATCCACCTTGTA